TTATACTAGGCTGTCATCATCCATTGTTCCTAATACATTGTTCCACATGACTGTTTGCCATCTTCTCTCTTCTCCAAACCATGTCTCTGTGATTTCCTATCTTCCCCCTCCTCTCTGGATGTGCCTCATTTCCAGACCATCTTGCTCTCATGATTGAATTGCTCGGTAAAATCCCCCGTCACTATGCTCTGAGTGGGAAATACTCGCAGGAATACTTCACCAAGAGAGGTACGGCACCCCTCTGTCTGTGGCTCGCTCTGGGGAAGGTGGACAGAAGGGCGATGGAAGAAGGTTTCTGTCGGCACACTCGAACCTGTCAGAGTTGTTGGTGTGTGCAGGCCAGCTGGCATAGCAATGAACACAGACCAATAAGTAACCTCATATTTCAGAGTAATAAAACGCCTGTTTCTTTAAACAGAACCATCAGACATTGATTCAGCGTCAGTAGTTGTGCCAAAGATTGCCTGGCTGAGGTTCATACAGTCTCACCTTAGTTGTCGTAGGATGACTTGGCTTGGCTCTTGATAGTTTATTGATCCCTGTCGAGGTGATTCTCATGATCTTTCTCCTCCATGGAGAGAGTTCAGCAACAGGAGAGAGTTCAGCAACAGCAGCGATCTGATGTTTATCTCATTTTATCTAATACATTTAACTTTATCTAATAGAGTCATGAGTTGACGGAGAAGACAACACGAGAAATGTTGACGTTTGTTGTAGCATTTCTGTTTACAGAGCTTAAATGTACGTATATAATATCCCGTTTTAAGTGACTTCAAAAAGTACAAGCCTTGGTGTTTACAACAATATGATAATTAATGTATGACACTCATTATTCTAAAATAACATTTCATTCATAAGGGATTAACTGTGACACAGAGTCTTGATAATGTCACCTTTGTAGTGGTTCAGTATACTGAGTGGGATTTGTTGTTTTGATTCGTTTCAAGGGTGATGCAAATGTCAAGACTTCCATATTTACACATAATAAATGTGTGAAAAAGAGGATTAAGTTGTATAAATAGCTGCAACGCATTTAAACAGTTATATAAACGTGATAAATTCTTCTAATTTAAAGACATTTGCCACAAATCAGTGGGTTTTATGTGCATTTGATACCTTTAGTGATGCCATTATAAAGCACTATTATTAAAAGTCACAGACATTGATTTTGTTCCATTTGTTTGTTCACATGAAAAGTGCCACAAATAGCTGAGTAGTGAATGCAAAGCTAGGAGTTTAATGTCCGGTTCCTCTCTGAACAGCTTACCAATCATAGTACAATTTTACAGAGGATTTGCTACATATATCACCTTAGTACTGACTTTTGATTCATAGCTGGAAAACATTAGAAATCCTTCCAGCTCTCGTAATGTCTGGTGGTCTTGTTTGAGAACTTTTTAAACTGCTGGCCTGTGCACTCCGTCCTCTGCAACAATCAGGCCCATGTTTGTGTGCCGTCGGCCCGACTCTTCGTTCTCTTGGCCCTCCTCCCACACACCCAGAGTGGGCCTGTGACCGGGACACTGTCTGATGAATCTGTTGTTTGTCTTGTCTGTCTCCTCCTCTCCTCTTGCAACCGTCTGCTGTGTAGACCATATAGCGCTGATCATTGAGCTGCTGGGGAGTGTCCCACGCAAACTCATAATGACTGGCAAATATTCCAAGGATTTTTTCACCAAGAAAGGTAAAACAAAGAAGTGCCATTTCAAGACTAGAGTGAGTTGTCTCTCTGTACTTTGGATCATGTCCTAAAACTTACGTAAGAGTCATAACCATCTTTCATCACGTTAAAACATGGACTTTAAATGTTTCCCAGCATAAAATAATGCAATGCTATCTTGGAAATACAGTTGAAAAGTGAAATATTTAATGTTTAATGGTATTACCATTGTGTATTTGTGATGTTTTCACAGATGTAACCACCTTGTAGTGAATTTAAACCTGAGAATTGGTTGCCGTCTGTAGCTGCATGGTTCTCTGATGCAGCGCCATGTGTCTGGTTTGCCTGCAGGTGATTTGAAACACATCACCAAGCTGAAGCCGTGGGGCCTGCTGGAGGTGCTGGTTGATAAATATGAGTGGCCCCGTGAAGAAGCTGAGTGCTTCACCGACTTCTTGCTTCCCATGCTGGAGCTGATCCCTGAGAAAAGAGCCACAGCTGCAGAGTGCTTGCGCCACCCCTGGCTTGCCCTCTAGTGGAGACCTCCAGCTATTGTACCTCTCTTCCCTCCCACCTTCTCCAGAGACTGCAACAGATCACTTTCCAGTTTGGGCATATCAGATGAATATTTATTTCTCTTTTTTTTTGTTTCGTTGTTTTGGATTTCTTATGTTCTTGTTCTTGAGCTAATGCTTCGGTGTACGTTTGCTTTGCGTTCGTTGGTTCTTCTCTCGGTGTGATGACATCAGGAATCCAGTGGATTTTTATTACTTTGTGGTCATGTTGGCTCCAACTGCTGTGCTCTGTTCGCCCACCCAGCTAAGCAAACCTTTCATTGTACTGCTAGTGACTCATCCTTGTTTGTTACACTCCTGCACTAAAACCCAAACAAATCAAGGATATGTAGCCTATATTGGTCATTTTTGTCCCCTTAAAAAGGACTCGCTTTCACTTTTTTTCTCGTACATTTTTCATTAGTGTTGTGTTCCTTTTTTAAATGAATAATTTTATCTTCTATTACACATGTAAGGTATACATTTTGTATTTGTAAAGTAGGCTTAGGAAGTTGCACACTGGGCTGACATTTACACTGACTGTGGTGACATTCATAGCATTTCTTCAGACGGGCTCTCTAGTTTCTTACTGAGATATCCACTTTCTGATAAAGTAGGTCATATTTAGTCATAACAGATCCGTTGTCACCTTGGTATTTAGTGTGGCTAGTTAATTATAATGAGATCTTTCATTCTCATGGGAGGCTGGTATTCTCATACACTTAATACAATTCAGGTATAGTGTTTTCAAGGTTTCAACAAGACAACATGTTAAGAAGCCCAATTTAAAGGAAAAAAGTGAAAATAAACTGTATATATCTGTACCAAAGAGTTTGCCTTTATGTATATTACAGTTATGTACAGTTTTTAACAAATCTTATATCTTAGCTAAAATTATTTAGCTGGGTAGCTGTGTTTTAATAAAGCGTATGGAAGATGTGTTTGAGCTCAGTCGTATGTATGGCCAATTGTTCAATAATGTCACTGTTTTTACCATAGAAATGGTGAGATCTGATGTTGTGTAAGAGTGTCCCAAACTGATCATATCAAAGTAACCTATGTTATCTGTTGAGACTTAGGTAAAAACAGATTTACATCAGTGTCACATTCAACATAGACTCTGTGTGAGCTGTCAATTTACAGAACTGTACAACACACCATACAATAAAACAGATCTTCATACAATACATAACGACTGTGCCAAGTTGTTTATTGGATGATGCGAAATACAGAAATGTTTGCTTTGCGAAGCAGTGAAGAATGGCAAATTATTAGTCAACCAAAAGCACTAAATATAAAACGGTTTGACCAGAAGTGCATCATGACATTCTGGTGCATCTGCATCATAGTGTGGTTCTTAAGATCCACGTGTTCAGCAGGGATTTTCTGTAGAAGAGGACAAAAAAAGATAACTGACTTCAGTTACTGAGCTTTTGCTGGCTAACTCAGTAAAACCAGTTTCTAGACCAACAAATACTTTATTAATTACAACTGAAAGCTCTAAAGCAAACACTAAATTAACCTTCAGGCTGGACTGTGTTGTTTCTGAGGTCATGAATCTTTGGTATGATTTGCGGCAGCATTAAAAACACGGGAAACAAATTTCATGGTTCAGTTCCATTCAGTGAGCCATGATAGCGAGCTAGCACCCACAGCAGCAGGGCTGTGGTCGAGCAGTTTTTATTCGCTTGGAAGGTTCCTAAGAGAGGGAAATGACCCAGATGTATATTCAGTGTACAACATAAGTGAATAAACTCCAGTGCCATATCACTTGAATGTCAGATTCAGAACTGTCACCTTTTAGTAATTGCATTAATCCTTTGTTGAGCAGTAGGGTATTTGCTCTTATGCAAAATTAAAAACGTTTAAGCTTTACTATATTAAAAACACAGGCCTCACAGTACGAACTGCAATAGAAGTCAGTCATTACTTAGATTCATTTTTTTCTTCACTTCATTGGCATGGAGGAAACCAGTGCTGCACCAGTGTGACAGATGTTCTCCTATTCTTCAGGGACAGTTTTTTCAGCTTTTCTTCACTCTAAACGTGTCGCACAAGCTTTAAAAAAAAAAAAAAAAAAAAAAAATACTGCAAAGCTGTTCTATTAGATTCAAGTCAGGCGACATACTTGTCCAGGTCATAGTTTTCATGTTGTTATGAAACTCTTGTGTGATTTTGGCAGTGTGCTTTAGATCATTATAGTGCTGGAATATTTGTCCTCTGCCAAGCTTCTGTAGACTGGGAGTCATCTTATCAGCCAGTATTTTGGTATGTCCATAACCGTTCATGGAGTCCAGCACTCATGCAGCTTCCTATCATCGCACTCTTACCTCTGTGCTTCACTGTCAGGACGATGCATTCGCTGTAGTCATGGCCAAGTTCATACCAAACATGCTGGTCTCTATCTATCTCTCTGACCAAAGAATCTGCTCCCAATTTTCATCAGGCTACTTTTTGTGCTCTTCAGCAAAATTTCATCTTGCAGTTTTTTATTACAAGAATGAGCAACAATTTTTTTTCCCCTGGGCACATGCCATAGAGGTTTACATGTTATGTCCTTCACAATGCCTGAGCAGTTGCAGAAACTCCAATTTCTCTTGATGGCACCTTTGCCATGTCTGTTAGTGTCACTGCAGCTCTGATTATTATTATTACTCTTCACTGGTTTTTAGTTGGTCAATGATCTCCATCTTTGATGTGATCACTCCTGTGCTTTTTCGACACATTAAAACATCCTTTGTGAGAAATTTTTATAGCCAGCTATCAGAATCTCAAAATATCGTACCTCAACCCTCGCCTCCTCCCTCCACCTCAAAGTCATCCGGCAGCAGCTTGTCCTGCCTGTTGCCCAGGGTGAAGGACAGAAGCGCGAGGAGGAGGGCATCTAGGATGCTGATGATGGCCAGGATGTAGGCCCAGCGCACCGTGCAGTTTCCCAGGCTGTACTTGTCCGTCCTCTGGCCGCACATCCTCTTCACCTCCGGAGCGTCCCAGCCGTCCGGGTAGATCATGCACCCCATTACCATCAACGCAGCTGCAGGAGGCGGACGCAGAAATGAACGAGCCATGCAATAATTACCTCTTGTGTGCTCTTATTTTGAAATAATAATGAGGGTTTTGTCTCTTGTGCAGGATAAGGCATGATGTACCTCCATAAAGTGCCAAAGGTTTAATTTATTTATGGTGCAGCAGGGCAGAGGATGCTCAGTAGGGCTGTTTGCATGATGGATATTCTTAAATGTTAAATGCTCTTCATCTGGTAAAGTTTCTTGTGAATTTTCCCCCCAAAGCCACTAACAGTAAAAACTGAATTTAGCAGCTATGTGCTTGTCGAGTAATTTCCATTTTATAAAGATATTTGTTATGACTGGTTACCTTGGCCCTGGTATGTTTCAGGTTTAGATCAGATAACGGCACGACAACACCTGATCTTGTTACCTGTAACCAATCCACCATCAGAGGTGTCAGAGTCTGGCCTGAAACTGGATCCCTTATCGGCTTCCATGGAACAACACATCCAGTACAAACACACATCACACCTGAAACCAGAGAGGTGTGAAGGCGGCTCACGACTGGATGAGTTTATCATCTCGCACCTGTCTTAGAGAAGAGCTCGCAAGAGAAGCTCAGGTCTCCTTCAAAGCTTTGTTTTGAGTTTTTGGTATTCAGGTGGGGAGCTTTGTCAAAGGTTTAAAAGATTTTGTTGGAGATGTGCTTTAAAGACCAAATAGAAAAACCCGGAGAATGTTTGGGTCTTTATTTGGAAGTTACATGGTGGCACTGAAGAAACTGCACAGTTTTAAAAAGTAGAATAAGAATCTGACCTTTTCTAATATTTCAGCCCTAAATAATGACTGAATATCACCAGACTGGTTTTTCAAACATGTAATTTAAACCTTGGAGAACTTATCAAGTCTATCCATCCATCTATCTATACGCACCTTAATCCTCACTAGGGTCGTGGGGGGCTGGAGTCTATCCCAGCTGACTCAGGGTGAAGGCAGGGGACACCCTGGACAGGTCGCCAGTCTATCACAGGGCTACACTTAGAGACAGACAACCAAGCACACTCACATTCACACCTACGGACAATTTAGAATCACCAATTAACCTCAACATGTTTTTGGACTGTGTGGGAGGAAGTCGGAGAACCTGGAGAGAACCCATTCTGCATGGGGAGAACATGGAGACTCCACGCAGGAAGATCCGGGGCATCCTAAGTGGGATGCGAACCGGGGATCTTCTAGTTGTGAGGCGATGGTGCTAACCACCGAGCACAGATTTTATGTATTTATTTATTTTTTAAACTTAATGCAGGTTTTAGGACAGAAAAAAATAACTCTATCACAATATTATCCAAAACTCCAGTTTATATCAAGTCTTACAGGAACATTTTTACGATGTATTATGCCAGTTTGATTCCACAGCTTCTATTATCAGTAAGTTTAGCATCAGGTCTGGACTATAAAATATAAAAAATAAAACAAAGCAAAACAAACAAACAAACAAAATACATATACATATATATATCACTGCTTATAAGAAGCATTTCAGTGTAGCTGGTAGTTTTAAGTTTGGATGTTTTTTTCCCACTTAATGCAGTTGCTGGTTTTAAAACAGAAAGAGCTAAGTCTATTATAGTATTAACCACAATTTCAACTGGTATCAAACCAGAAAATATTAACAATTTATTATGTCATTCTGCTCCTCCTTTTGTAAATTTAGTATCAATTCTTGATTATCAGACAAAACAAATAAAACCAAAATGATTACCGACTATTTTAAATGCAGAAAAAACACTTCATAGTGTTTTATCATTAAAAATCTATATTAAAACGTTTTTTCTTGTCAGCAGGATTGTTTCATAGCTGGTACTTTAAACTAAGTTACTTTACATGCTGTTAGTTACTTCAATCAGCACCTGTGCATCATATTTTACACACTGTTCTTTTTTAAAAAAGAAATCTAAAATCTTAATCTGACCACCAGCAGTGGGCTGACTGACAGATGAACACATGAAAGTAAAGCCCAGAACCTCCAGACCTGCAGACCAGCCTCGCAGCTCTCCGTCTCACCTGAGGCCAGCTGCATCCAGGCGCAGATCTTGTAGACGTTCCCGGCGTTGCAGAAGAAGAAGAGGCTGAAGCAGACCATGGTGCCCACCACCAGCAGCATGGAGGTCCCCACGAAGAACATGGCGGTTCTGAAGGCCGGGGAGGGGATGGAGTTGAAGTCCAGCACGCTGCCCTTGCAGGTGAGCTCGGAGGTGAGCGCGTTGCCGATGCAGTAGTGGAAGAGGCCGAAGTATCCGGCCTGAGGCGTGTTGACGCTGTCCCCGATCCAGTAGGGCTGGATGAACACCACCATGGTGATGATGACGAAGCAGATGGTGAACACGGCCCACATGACGCCGATGGCCCTGGAGTTCCTCACGTAGTTGGTGTGGTAGATTTTAGCGGCCTCCTGGGCTGGAAGCAGGTCCATGATGGAGAGAAGAGAAACGTTTGTGTTGAGATTTTGTAGCTTTAATTTAAAAAAAAATAAAAAATAAAATAAAATTAAAAACTCTCTGTCCTCAGCGGATCTGTAGGTAAAATGGTTTGTTGTGGGATTCTGTCCATATTCTCCACAGCTCACAGCTCTCCTGTCTGTCTGTCTGTCTGTCAGAGAGGGACTGGGGATTCAGCACCTGGACAGCTCCGACCAATCAGCGACGTCCTGCTGACGTCATCTTTCTCACCTGGAGGGCACAGGTAGAGCTGCAAGAGCTGTTGTGTAGGTACACTGTAAATAAAATAAAATCCAATTTTACTGAAAATATCTCTAAAATTTTACAGCTGTCTTTTGCCTTTGTGTTTGCTTTTTTTTTTTTTAACCTTTTAAACTGTAAAATTACAGACATCATCGGGGTCAAGTTTACTTTATTTGTCTCGTTTTGGAGAAAATTGTTTTGGATACAGGAAGTTGCTGCCTCAGGCCAAAACACACACACAATAATAATAAAAAGAAATTAAATGGGCACATGCAAAACATTGGCTGGGTTAAACACTGTGCAGATTATAAATGGTTGATCCCTGAGAACCTCCTCAATCAGCTGCTACCACCATGTTTCCATCTTATCTATTCATGAAAAACCCAACAGTTATTTTAAAGGTCAGCATGTTAAAATACAATTTTTGCATTTTACATTTACATTGCGGTTCATGGTTTTGTTGGTTGTGCGTCTGAAATAAAAGCTGTTAAGATATTAAGACATTTACCGCCGCCATTTCTCAAGTCGTCCCACAGCTAGTTAGTCGTCCCAGCTTTACCAGCCAGTCAGGATTCAACCCAGCTGCTGTGCAACACCTAACTAACCAGTACTGTCCAGCTGTCAGTCACAGTGGGAGTGGGTGCCACAACAGCTGCTGTTTACTTGGTTGTTTTTAACTGTCTACAATTAATTGGTTAGCTACAACACATAGCCTACATCATTAAAAAAAAAAAAATCATTAAAAAACTGGCAAGTTAGTGGTAGCAAAGTCTAAAAAATATCCTCATTTAAATAAAGTTAAAAACTGATGAATTTACAAATATTTTCATATACACTTTGCAAAAAAGTATGCTTTATATTTTTTCTCCAAAAATTATTCCAACCAAACACCTTTAATAAACTGATAAACTTAAAAAATCTCCAGTGAAACAGATTTATTTTACATATTTGGCCCAGATTTTTAAGATGAAAACACCTTTCATTATGTGTGAACTCCCGCTCAAGGTTGTTAAATAACAGTCCCATTTTGGAGAACATATAAAGTACACAACACTACTGATTGCAAAACACTTTATTTATTTATTTTTTTGGAGATTAAAATTGATTATGTCAACAAATTAGTTACAAAAAACCCTGAAAATATCCATTCTCTGTGTTATGACGGCATCATAAAGTGGAGCCCAACATCAGAGTTCAGTACAAAATAAGAGTTTTATATTGATGGAAAAAAATACCTTAAGATACTGCAAATATAAAAAAAAAAGTTCTTTAAAAAAATAAAATAAAATAAAGTCAACATTTTTTAGTTTAGGAAGCAGTAAAATATTCTCAACCCACAAAGAAACACTTCATCTTTCAGTTTATCAGAAAGTTAAAATTCAGAAATTTGGAGATGGTTGGTGGTTCCTGGGCAGGAAGGACATGAAAACCTGAAAAGTAACTAAAGCACTCAGACAAATGTAGTTGAATGACAAGTACGATATTTGCTGCTGAGCTATAGAGGAGCAGAAATAGAAGCTGCACAAAATAAAACAGGGCTGCAAGGTGGAGCAGTGGTTAGCACCGTCGCCTCACAGCAAGAAGGTCGCTGGTTCATGAGGACACCCGGGATCTTTCTGCGTGGAGTTTGCATGTTCTCCCCGTGCAGCGTGGGTTCTCTCCAGGTTCTCCGGCTTCCTCCCACAGTCCAAAAACATGTTGAGGTTAATTGGTGATTCTAAATTGTCTGTAGGTGTGACTGTGAGGGTGCTTGGTTGTCTGTCTCTAAGTGTAGCCCTGTGATAGACTGGCGACCTCTCCAGGGTGTCCCCTGCCTTCACCCTGAGTCAGCTGGGATAGGCTCCAGCCCCCCCGTGACCCTAGTGAGGATTAAGCGGTGTATAGAAAATGGATGGATGGACAAAATAAAACAACTTCAGTAAAGAACCTTGAATTTGTACCTACAATGCAGTATGTGAGTAAATATACTTTGTTACATCCCGGCACTATTACGGCACAATTAGGACTCATCATCAGCTCTGCCTTCATATTTAGGACAATCTTTAAAGAAGCTTTCATATAAAAGTTCTTCTGGGGATTAACTTTAGTGATGATCATGATCACAACTCATTACTGTACCAACTTCAAAGTTGTAGTGAAAACTGTCTCAGAAAATCTCAGTTTGGGTTATTTTCTTTAAAATGAAGCTCATAATTAGAATAACAACATGACATGTGCATAACTAGAAGGTCATTAAGCATATTGCAGTCGAAACATAAAGTTTGTATTGGAGAAGGAAACGTAATCTACAAGCGTGGATGTGCAATCCTGTGTTTCCTACAAACTTTTTGGAATAATTTTACATAGTTTTGGCGCTTTAGTGCGAAGTCCCTTTGTTCTGACATTTTTAAAAATGTCATAATGTTATATTTATAGTGAGCTTCAATAAACCCATGAATACAGCTGACAGTTTGCTGAAATTCGTGACCGGTGCACAGAAAGCTTAAAAAAATAAAGGTGTGCAGATATCAGACTCAATATTGTTCCAGCTGAGTCCTCTTATTGGAGCGCTGCTTATCTGAAAACCGCTGCCATCGACAGGAACACAATGAGGATTTTATTCTAATAAATAAAAAAATAATCCGCCACAGCTTTTGATTGTCGCTGAGGGTGTCGAGAGTTCGACTGCATCACGGCTACTGAACAACACTGAAGTAAGAGTCTGTTTGTAGTGGCTCAGAAAAAGCACAGATGTGGAAAACAAAACACGAAAGACACGGAGGGCAGCTTCAAATCACATAGCACACGAATGCTCGCCAAAACCAGCTGCTCTGTGATGCTCGGTGCCAACGCAGGGATCCATCTAACATTAGTGAGTCCAGCTCTTTACTGGATGCATCACTCTACACTTTAAAAACAAACTGTTACCTGCAGCAGCATTCATCCTCATCTGCTGCAGCTCCACATTTTAATTCATCACTTTAAACTACTGCTGCCATATTCAGTGTGGGATAACAATGGCCAGAGGCTGACAGGAGCAGCCGGACGAAGCGTGTCACCATCTGTGCTCTTTGCCCTCCAGTCAGTGTTTGTAACAAGGAGCTGGAGGGCATCACAGGTGACACCAAGACACAGTGTTCAGGGATGAGCTGCTTCTCCTGGGGGGATCCCTGACGGCTCCCTGCAGCTCCGGAGGAACAATCAGCTGTTGGTGGGGGGTAGCAGAGGAGGGAAACACCAGACAGAGAGAGAGAGGAGGCAGGCAGACAGACAGGGGATGAGATGGAGAGGAGACGTCACAGTGTAGATAAAAAGACTAATCAAATGCAGCCTGTGGAAGGAGGAAAAAAAACACATGCGGGGGAGCTGCTTTTGAGGAGCTGCTCTAATGAGACGTAATCTCTGGTACATGTGACAGCCTGTGAAGGCTATCTTGTCAGGATTTCATCAAGCCTGCTATTACTTCCGTGATGCCTTGATGAGGAGATCTGGAGATGGAGGGGGAGAAAAAAAAAAGAAGGCTTGAAGACAGGCTGGATCGAGGCTTCTAAAACACACAAACACACATATGCCTCACACTTCAGCTCAGTGTAGAACATACATAAACCCATATAAAAGAAATCCCTGATATGAGAGCCAACATATTAAATAATGAACCCATGTAATGATGAGAGAATTAACAAAGTAAATCCCCCCTCACTCATGAATCACAAGATAAATCTTCTTCTAGCTGCTGTTCTAAACCTGCCAAATAAAGCTGAACGCTGCTTCCTGTATTGGGTGTTGGCAGATATTAAACAAAAGGTAGATAGTAAAACTTTTGTAATCCCTTTATAATTTTAGAACCTCATTTTCCATCACAGACCAGATCAGACATTAGCATAAGGATAACTGGGCTTAGCCACAAACTGAAGATATGTCAGCTTCGGTTTTAGAGGTGCTGCCGTCTCCTGAACATGAATTAAATTAAACGTTTTTCTGACTGACGAGAAGAAAACGCTGTTGGCTTTTGCGTCGCAGCCCTTCTGTCGTGTGTCATTCTCAAAGTTTTTAGTTCAGTTTATGCTCACAGCAGAAGAGGATCGTCTGTTTGTTTTCGTAAAAGAATCTTTGTGCTGCAAATAAATTCAGCTGACTCAGGGCAAAGGCACCCTGGACAGGTCGCCAGTCTATCACAGAGCTACACTTAGAGAATCACCAATTAACCTCAATATGTTTTTGACTTGTGGGAGGAAGCCGGAGAACCCAGAGAGAACCCACGCTGCACGGGGAGAACATGCAAACTCCACGCAGAAAGATCCCGGGTGTCCTCATGAACCAGCGACCTTCTTGCTGTGAGGCGACAATGCTAACCACTGCTCCACCTTGCAGCCCCCAAATCAGACCCATGAATATTTGAATCTGTTGCACAACTCAGTTCTGAAAAATTTAAATTGCTTGGTAGAATAGTCGGTAACAATTCTTAACACGGTTCATGATTCACACTATAATTTCATTGCCTGAATAGATCTACAAACACAACACTGACCTGTTCCTCTTGATATTTAACTGTGGTGGAATAAAATAAGACTATGAGTAACATCTGGCCTTCTTAGAGGAAAGAAGAAATAAATTATACAGTGAATATTTTGATGAACACTGGATATCTGTGGGTACAGTACCGGAAAACAAAACTAAAGTTTGGAAGAAATGGTGTTGTAGTTCTTATTCAATTCAATTCAATTTTATTTGTATATCGCATATTTATTGTATC